CGAAAGTGATGGGAAATGGTGCCACCGTTAAACTTGATGCTACTCAAAGGGCCTGATCTGCTGACTCCGCAACATTCTCAAAGATTTGAGGCCATTGGCATCAATATGCAGCAAGGATCGTTTGTTCGTCAAACTCGGTCGAAGACTCGAGCAACCCAACATGCAGCTACCAGGGGTTCTCAACCTCCTTCCAGTGACGGTGCATGGACACGGTCTCGCGATGACGAATCTACCCGGGAATTCCAACCTTCGGTGATTGACGTAGAACACGGATAGGAATACGATTGTGTGGAATGTAAGCGGCCCAACAATGTCGAGTTATACATGGTACAGTGCGGGAAATGCAAGCACTGGTATCATTTCTCGTGCGGAAAGGTGGATATTGCTACAGTACGATCCAGTGATTTCATCGGTGTGAAGTGTATACCGAAGGTCCCCCCACCCCCCGCTAGTTAACGTCCAGCCGTATGATCGCTTTCTGTACAAAGTACAGGCTCAGAGTTCGGAGAACGCCCGACTTCCAAACCCGTTAATTGTGGACAAACTTCCGAGTATCGCCCCTAAGCTAATGGGAACCATACCATATACAGTGTGGCAACGCAAGACAAACGAGATGCGGAGGCAGCATGTTCAAGATCAGCCGCGCCGTGATGAGATGGACGAATCCCAGTGTCAACAGCAGCGCAAGCAGAAGTTAATCCATTTACTGTGGCAATCCGAGGAACAGCGGGATCAGGACAGGCAACGTATGCAACAAATCGAAGCCATGCTGGAGAAGCAGCACGACGTCGAAGCGAAATATCAAAAGGAGAATGATGTCCGGAGGAAGAGAGAACTGGATCTGGTGAACCGACTCAAGCTTTTCGAGCAACAGTACGCCCAAGAGCAAGCCAGGCGAACAGAAGAGAAGCAGTCATTCCTGGTAAAAGAGCAGCAGTTGATCGAGCGGTTGGAAGCTCTACGCCTGAACTACAGCATATCTGCAGCGGAACAGCGCTCAGCGGCCGGACAGATCTCGGCGGAACAGCGCTCAGCAGCGGAACAGCTGGTAAGCGTAGAAGAGCGTCAGGCGATGCAATCATCACTCGGTGGTGAACCTGTGCGCTTCAGCGGAACAACTTAGGAGCTCCCGAGGACCAACCCAGGAAGGCGTAGCCGTGAGTACAAACCCTCCAACGGCTTCAGATAGTGGTTCCCATGATAATCAAAATACATCTAACCGAAACTTTCTCGATAACGATCGAAATAGATCGACACCTAGTCCAAGTGTCACTAGCCAGGATAGGAGATTAGGAACACCCCCTATTTAGAACCTTTGTACCATCTTTTATAGGGCCTCCTTTAGTAAATCCGTTAGGGCAGTCACAATTCGTAAAGAATTCCGCGGATTTAAACCGATTCGCGCCCGTTCAACACCAGTCGGTAATGCAGGGACCAACGCCTCAACAGTTGGCAGCGCGACAAGTTATCTAAAGAGAGCTTCCGGTATTCAGTGGCGATCCCATCGAATGGCCACTTTTTATTAGTAGCTACAACCATTCCACCATGGCGTGCGGCTACACCGACTCAGAAAATCTGCTTCGTTTACAACGGTCGCTTAAAGGAGCCGGAGACGTTGATCCATTTTGGTTTGGCGGTCCAAAACTTGTGTGGCCACCTGCAAGCTGTTGGAATGGACAACCACCTCTCCAACCCCATCCTTCTACAAGAGCTCGTGGATAAACTGCCGGCTAACATCAAGTTCAACTGCTGCATCAAGAGAACCTGCCTGTGGTCGATTTGAAAGCGTTCAGCGAGTACATGAGGAAGGTGACAACCGCTACTAGTGGTGTTACGACCTTCTTCGATGCAATGGTGGTGAAGGAAGATGATGAACCAAGGAAAAGGCGTTCGTGAACGCTCATGCAGCCCAAGAACAGAAGGATCCAGGAGCAGCTGACTATCCATCTGATGATCGGTGAGGACAGAACAAGAGCGCTAAAGGCAAAGGAGAAGAAACCAAAATTTGTTCAGCGTGCGGCACAGCCACACGGCTGCTAGCTGTGTAACTTTCAAGAAGCTTTCGATCGACGGTCGATGGAATCTCGTCAAGGACAACAAACTCTGCCGCCGATGTCTCGTATCGCATACTCGTTGGCCATGTGAAGGCGAGGTTTGCGGTATCAATAACTGTGAGAAACGCCATCATCGTCTTCTTCACTCGGAACCCACTAAGAAACATCCAGTCATCGATGCCACGGTAACCATCCACCGTCAGCCCGTTTCTTCGACGCTGTTCAAGGTACTGCCGGTGACATTGTACGGGTCGGTGAACACGTACGCGTTCTTGGACGACGGTTCGTCTATAACAATCCATTGCAGATGAACTGGGAGTGAACGGGCGAGCACATTCTTTGTGTATCCATTGGACCAGTGGGATTAACAAGAAGCTTGCGACTACAGAGCTAGAGACGTTGAGCATTTCTGAACCCGGATGCGACCGGCGCTTCAATCTGTCTGAAGTGTACACCGTCGAGAGCCTGGGACTACCGGATCAGTCGTTGGACGTTGCAAAGTTGTCAAAGGAGTTCCATCATCTGCGGCGACTGCCAGTCAGGAGTTGTCAAGGGGCCGCTCCTGGACTGCTGATTGGAATGAGCAACACGCACCTGCTGACGACAACGAAGCTTCGAGAAGGTAAAGAGCGAGAACCAATCGCTGCAAAGACTCGCATCGGCTGGGTGATATGCGGCCGCGTACGAGGGGGAGAAGAAAATTTCCAGCATCAACAAATGCACATATGCGCTGACCTGGGCTCTGAGACGGCAGAGCACGACCTCCACGACTATGTTCGAGAGTTTTTCTCTGTGGAGAGCCTTGGAGTTGCTGTCGCTCCCAACCTTAGAAGGAAGTGAAGACGAACGAGCGCGCAGAATTCTCGAGGAGACAACAGTTCGTACGGCAAGTGGGAAGTTCGAGACCGGGCTGCTTTGGAGAAAAGATTCCATCGAGTTCCCGGACAGTCGACCAATGGCCGAGCGTCGTTTGAGGTGTCTTGAGAAGCTCTTGCAAAAGGATTCGAAGCTCTATGACAGCGTACGACACCAGGTAGCAGACTACGAAATGAAAGGGTACGTCCATGTAGTAACGAAGGAAGAAATGGCAAAGTTTGATCCACGGCGTAAGTGGTACCTTCCGCTTGGCGTGGTACTGAATCCAAACAAGCCTGGAAAAGTGCGCGTTATTTGGGATGCGGCAGCGAAAGTGAACGGTGTATCGTTAAACTCGATACTACTCAAAGGGCCTGATCTGCTGACTCCGCAACAATCACCATTTGAGGCATCCACGTGTGCCACAATTCAAATCCATAGTGCGCAAAATTAAGTGTGAGACACATGATGATAACGTGTGGAATTTTTTGAGTGTATACTTTTACTCGTGTCAATGTTTCCAGTAAGAACATATTACACTGAAACAATTCGGGGCTTATTACGGATGTCACTTCACGGTGAAAAGTTGTCACTTGTCGTCACGGTGAAGTGATTCCCATTTGATTTGGCTCTTATTCTGAGTATCACTTGCTTATCACCGTATAGTGACACCCGTAATGTAAGTTCAGGAGCAAGAGATTGTTTAATTTCTCAACGAACGAAACATCAATATCGCCATCATCACCGAAACGCACTTGAAGCTTGAGATTAACGTCTTCCTTTCCGATGTTCGGCTTGTCAGGCTGGATCGAACCAACTGTGGGGGAGGAGGAGTGGCCATCGCTCTAAGGAGCAATACCGACTGCCGGCTGGCTGAAGATAATCGAAGCCTTAGGGGTGGAAGTTTCTACTCCTGTCTGCCCCAAACAAGTCAACATTAGAGACGGGTCGGCAGCAGACCAATTGACTCGAGTGGGCAATATTCTCAGGCGGAACAAGTATGTTTCTAAAACATCTGCCATGGCATTGTTAGACGTTGAAAAAGCGTTCGATCATGTCTGGTATGATAGCCTCGTGTACAAACTAAAACGATACGGTCTTCAAATCTTCCTCGTGAAGATCATCCAAAATTACCTCTCAGACAGGATATTCTCAATGACATCACTTCTGATGCCTTCAACATTGGCTCCGATATTCCGGCTCTCATAGATGGTGAAACGTTGTCTCTGTTTGTAGTCTACAAGGGAAGGTCATCGGAGCTCTTACTGCCAAACTTCAGAGAGGGGTTTGGATGTCCTGTCTGAGTATTTCAACTACTGGAAGATCCATATCAACCCAGGTCATCATGTTTCCACATTTCCCATTGCCAAGAGTTGTTCCGTCTGAAAAAAAAATAAGATCTGGTGGAATGGTTCAAAGAGGTTGTGTACCTCGGACTAACACAGACAGCAAGCATCTTTTCAGGGAGTAGATTGACAAAACTAAATCCAAGTGCATCATCTTGATCAGATCACTGTATCCGCTTATCAATAGGAATTCCACCTTATCCCTGAAAATAAGTTTGCTGTCTATAGACAACTAATCCTACCTGTTATTAAGTATGGTATGCCTGGGTGAACAACAAGATCCTTAGGATGATCCTAAGCAGTCTCCCGCAGACTCGAAATTCTGATATCCACCTCCTGGCTGGGATTCAGACATTAGATGAACGGAGAGCATTCATCCTGGAAAGGTTCAGAGACACCTGTCCGAGATCAGATCATCAGAGCATACGTGATCTAACACGTTAGGTTAAGTTATACTCGATATAGTTATAGTCGCAGTGGTTCAATTGTTATACAAGCATGGTATGGAAAAATGTCCGTGCAGAGAGAGTGGGATGGTCTAAATCCTCTCAAAAACAGTCCACAAAGAATGTGGACAGCCCCTAAGGTGACCACAGCTTTTTGCAATCTGAAGAGAGCGTCGAAAGAGTTTTTTATAATGGATTAAATTGCACCTGAGAGGCACCTGTTTTGACTTTTTAAGACCTTCCTGTGGCAGTATGTTCCGAGGAACAGGGTTTTCTCTAAAATCATTACAACTTTCAGCTAGTTTGATTATACGATAACATTCTTCAGTCAAAGCTTACACTTCAAAAAATAGATTGGCAAGACGGCTGATTCTAACTCGTCACTTATCCTAAAGATAAACCGTTTGCATTAATCGGCTACGTATAATACACTTCTTCGTTGTTCGATCCTTAAACGCTATTATACATACAATCAGGTTGCTGCACTGCTCATCGTACTACAATTTCACGCACTGTACAGTTGTGATGCTTTTGATCAACGGAATGATACTGTTTCGATTCCAGCGGGGGAAGACTCTAATCTCACTAAGCTTAAATTCGATTCTTTTTTTTTTAAATTTCGATCCTTTAAATTTTGATTCCTTACTCTGAGCTCCACTCAGAACTAAACAAAAAAAAATACTAACTTAGTAAACTGTGATGATACGAGCATTATACGTTTGCGTGTTTTTTTTTTTATTTTGCTGTCACTTGGTTGTCTTTCCAAAACTAGTAATAAGTTATACACTTAAGACTAATCCCTAAACATTAGAACCGCATGGGTGCAATAATAATACAAATAGCGAGCCGGCTACTACTTTACAACAAAACCGAGGGGAAAATATTACAATCAATTACAGTCTCGTGTTCGGAATTCTCCGTTCCTTTGCAATAACAAACACAAACAAAAAATCCGCACTTCTTCAGCAAGTCAAACAGAGCATCCGCTTCCAGAGGGGTCGCTTTCGGTTGAACTCCCGGGTCTGCAGGACATCCCAGATGGCCGCATCGAACACTTCCTTGACTCGTTCCTAATGAGGAGAAACAGAGATAGAGAGAGAGATAAATATTAATCACCGAGTGTTTACTTTGATCACCGATGCGAGAGGAGGAAACAAACCCAAACAAATCAAAGCAACCGGGTCGTTGACATGTGCTGTTTTTGCTTGCAATCATCGCTTACTCGAAACACGAACTGTCAGCAAACGAGTATCGGCAGAAAATAACCGTTTTGCAAATTCGTGACCAGTGTCATTTGTTCGGCTGTCAGTGCCTTCTCGCGATTTCCCCGTTACCGCTTGCCGAGATGTTTGTTTGCTTGCTACTTTTCGGTGGAGAAGGAGGAGAAGCTCGTCTCACCTTCCTTTTCCCTCCAGATTAGCCACCGCCATTCGTCCCATGGCGCATACCTTGTTTCCTGTGACCTTGTCAATCAATATTTGAGTAATGTGACATGCTGGAGTTCAAGTTCAGTTCAGTCTGGTCGTGAATCATATTCAAGTTACCGACGACGACAACGATAGAACAACAATTCACCGGCCAAAAGTTGTTTACCGAAAAAAAGCATACACCCAGAAGATTAACCCACGGAGATTTGTCCGGTAAGATTACCTGTTTCCGTTCTGCGTTGGTCGTGTATTTGGATTTCGACGCCAAAGTAAACAACTTTATCAACCGCATCAAACGCCACTCGCGTGAGCGTTTGTCATTCAGATTTATCACTACAGAAAGTAGGCAGGTAGGTGAGGCACGGTGACTGGGAGTGTGAGGAGGAAATTAGCTTGTGCGTGTTTTTCGGAAATTTGCGGGGATAATCTCAGTTACCGTCGTCATTAGCATTGCGAAAAATGTTCAAGACATAATCAAACAACCGAGCAGGCGGGAGTTTTGACGTGCACGGCCATTGAATCTGACTCAAATTCGCTAATGCGATCAACCAAAATTTGAGTTCAGTTAACCCATAATCGCATAAAGTGCAGGAACTCAGCGATAAGTAAATTTGGCTCATGGTTTCCTGTGGCAAACTCCGAAAATTTTCCGGAAAATGAGGAAAATTTACGAAAATTTTTATCAGTCTACGAGTAGTACCAACAGAGTGAGAGAATCCGATCTATACTTTAGGCAAATTTATTCATTGATAAGTACTTGCAATTTTTGCAATTTATGAGTAAACTGAACTCAAATTTAGGTTGGTTGATCTCATTGGCCGTGTAGGTGAGTAAAATTTTCCTCGTTATTGACAACTTTGTCAAGCAGTGTTGGCGTGACTTTCTACCAGCGATTTCACAAAACTGGTCCGACTAATTTCTATTTTTTATGAAACGCGCAAATGTTGGCTACTTTTCTCGTGGTTCTAGAAGCAAAAATCTCAAAATAATGTTTTATTTCTAGGTTCGAGTGGTAGTAAACATCATTTTTTAACTGCTCGAGTCTAAATTCTAGTACTACACTATGCTTGTTTTGATTCGCTATGAGAGTTTGACAGATAAAATTAGAGGTTCGTGGATTTTCCTATGTTTCGAGGGGTGCATCGATTAGCTTGGGACCGAAGATAGTCCCAGAGCTGAGCCAAAACGTTGATCACGTTTCGTCGGGACCTTCTGGTCTTAGAGTTACCTCTATGGTGTTACCATAGAGGTAACTCTAAGACTAGTAGCTCCCGAAGAAACGTGCTCAACTTTTTGGCTCAGCTCTGGTACTATCTAATGCATGTTTTTTTCTATATCTTTATTAAGGAGACTTTCAGCCCTGGGCAACGCATATGTACCTCAATACCCCCTCGAATACCCCTAAACAACCCAATTGGCGATAATATTTTGTTACATCTGAACATATTCCGAACTTGTTCCAGAGATTCCCAGGGGCATCCGGAACAAGTTCGGAACATGTCCTGAAGTGACCAAATGTGGTTCTAAAAAATAACGATGAATGGATTAGTCACTGCTTCCTAATGCTGTTTGATGTGTCGTATAACCGGTTTTGGTATCCTTCAAGTTCTAGCCGCTATACGATAGATGAGGAGATTAAAGTATAGAGTTGATAGTTCCGTTAGAGTACGACAGTGTGAAAATTGTATATAGAGAGTAGAAAGCGATCCAGGACAACTTTGAGTACCTTCCTCAAAGTTGTCCTTGCTCGCTTTCTACTCTCTATATACAATTTTTACACTGTCGTACTCTAACGGAACTATCAACTCTATACTTTCATCTCCTCATCTATCGTTTAAAATTGCCACTTTAAGTCTGTTATTTGAAATATAGCATCTTCAACTATGTCCCTGTTCCCTGTAGATGTTCTCCACATCTTCCTGTAGACTTTTTCAATATCTTCTTGTGGTCATCTTTCGGGTCTTTCCGTGAACTCTCAAGATCTTCCTGTGGATTTCCTTCAGATCTCTCAGTGCACTTCCTTCAGATTATCCAGTGTACTTCCTCCACATCTTTCTGAGTACTTGTTCCTGTGGACTTCATCCAGGTCTTCTTCCAAATTTTCCCTCAGACTACCTCCAGATCTTCATGTGGACTTCTTCCAAATCTTCCTATGGACTTCCTCCAGATCTCTCTGTAGACTTCCTCCAAATCTTCATGTGGACTTTCTTCAGTTCTTCCTGTTGACTTACTCCAGATCTTTCAGTGGACTTCCTCCAGATCCTCTTGTGAACTTTCCTCAGACGTTCATGCGGATTTCCTAAGATCTTACTGTGGACAGAATTTTGTAAGATGATGCATGAAGTTTTTGTAGGATATTATAACTAAATAGAGCTGGAATAAGGGCGTAACAGCTTTTGTAAACAATGACTTCTCTCGATGAATTCTAGGAATACAAGGCACGACCACGCAAACCAACATTACCGTCGGGTAGGAGAAGTCTTACCCTACCTGATGGTGATGTTGATTTGCGTGAGCGAGCCTTGACTTTCAAGACATCATCGAAAGAAGTCATTGTTTACAAAAGCTATTATGCCCTAATTCCAGCTCTATCTTTAATATTAGCTACAACTTTTGTGAAAATCTTTAATCTGTATCTCTTATGCATGACGAACTAGAGCGGGCAGAATTTGGTGTTTGTTTGTAGGTGAATTTAATTTACATTCACTGAAAAATAATGATCAACAAAATAAAGCCAAAATAGTACCTGCAATTCGCTGTATGGAATGTTTTGCTGCCATGACATAATCATTCGAGTGTTCAGCAATGTATACAACATTTTTGCTTCTAACACCAGCAAGCTGCCTGTTGTTCCAGACCTTGAATGATTGACATCGGCGTTTAGCTAACTTCATATTTTTGACATCAAGTGGTTTGTTTACATGGACGGGACATGAATAGAAATTGAATTTGAACATTTAAATAAATATATAATTTTGTTTTATAGAAAAACAGTTTTTGGAAGAACACTGTCAAATAATACATCTTCCAATCATATTGATTAACAAACTTTAAACCATTTCAATCGACTAACAGACAAAAGTAAACAAACCACCGGTTGTCAAACCGATGATCACGAGTTTATCGCATTCATTCGTGACTTTAGCACAGGTTAGCACCGATGAATTCCAGTTCATGAACTGACAAGAACACACTATAAAATGGCGGTAATGGGGCTGTTCTAGTAGGGTGCAGACAAGGGAACTCTCGGATAACGGCAATTAATAAATCTTACTTAACCAACGAGTTCTTTATTTAGTCCGCTCAAGTACGCGTCGTCGGTTCAACTGATTTATACTCTCTCATCAGAAACTCATCATATTTAAGTTAATGCAGAGGGGCGTGACACTTTGGTAACTTTGAATTATCACAACATCTTCCCTCTTTTGCAAAACAAACGCAACAGATTTAAGAAACAATGAAATCTCTATACTTAGCTGGCATTCTGATTTCTCTCTTCGGACGGCCCCGACTCATGGAATAGAACTGACATTCACAACATCGGACGTCTTATCGGTGCACGGTTCATCCTCATCTACGTTGCTGGTGTGAAATGGTTCATCGGTCAGAACGGCTGTCTCCGCTCTTGATGTTTGTGGAAGATCTACAGGCACTGTTGATGATTTGCTTGTTTCCACCATTGGAGATCCAATCGATGCAAAAGAAACTGCAGGTTCTTTGCCAGGCTTAACGTTTACAGCATCCCGACAACAATCCCGATCACTAAGTTGATTACTGACGAACCCCGGAGACCAGACCTTAGATGATTGTGGCCGTGCTTGAACGTACACTGGCGATCCAATTTCTAAAGCTGGCAGTTGACGTGAGTGCTTATCGTAATTGTACTTGATCTTTTGACGATTCTTCCTGATTGCTTCTGGAACGCCTTCCACGCCTTTCTGCAATAGATTTGTTGCCGGAATTGGTATTCCACAACGGGTACTGCGTGAGAACAATCTGGATGCAGGACTAGTTCCGATATTGTTGGGTGTGTTTCTCCAAAGTTGTATTACGAACCAAAGATCCTGTCCTGACTCACTCGCTTTACGGATAAGCTGTTTGGCGATTTTTACAGCGGCTTCCGCCTTACCGTTGGCCTGTTGGTGGTGTGGCGCAGACGTAGAATGTTGAATAGTTTTGCAAACTGAGTCATCTCCTCGTTTACAAAGTTAGTTGCATTATCGGTAACTACCAACTGAGGCGTCCCGTGACAAGCAAAGTTTCGCTTACACGCATCTATAACAGAAGTCGGTGTCAAGTCCTTTATCAGATCCAACTCGAAATAATCTGAATAGTGATCAACAGTCACTAAAAAGTTTCGTTGCTTTCCTTTGTCGTCCATCAACACCAATTGAAACGGGTAGATCGGTACGGCGTGGCTCTTCATCGGTGGGCTTTGCTGGGATGCTCCAAATTTGGCGCATATTGAACATTCTTGGACTCATTCCCGGCCAGAACACGTTGGTTCTAGCCAATCGCAATGTGGACTCAATGCCGGTGTGACTGGTGTGCAACTTTTCAATCAACGAACGATGAAGCTTTGACGGGATAACGATTCGATCACCTCGAAAAACCAATCCACTTTGAGTAGCGAGCTCATGACG